TTTTCAAGAGTTGTATTTGTGAATTTTTCTGGTGACACATACATATCAAATTATTTAGTGTAGGGTTTCGAATTGAAAATATTGGTAATCATGCAGTGATAGGTGAGTTGTATGCTATTAAGAAACAAACAAAGTATTTCCATCTGTCTATTTCTGCATATAAATGTATATTTCAATAAATAGTGTTTATGATAAGAATTGAAATATTACAGCTGTTGCGCATCAATACATTACCGTTGCATTTTTTACACAAAAGACATATCCATGCAGAATTTAAAATCGGAACATTAACTCATAGTGGAACATTTATCCTCATGACTGTTTGTTAAATTTAAGTTGCATTTTAACGTGGCGTTTGAACTTTTCCATAACTGTTTTGATTTGATGAAGGAAATTTGTTGGACAGTAAAAATTTCAAATAATGAGATGACAACTGATGCTGTAAGATTGCTGAGGACTGATATCATAATAAGAGTCATTTTAAGGTGTCTGGGTTAAGTGGTTTTAATGACATAATACATCAATATTTATTGGCGTTTGTGTGTGAAGGAGCCTGTTGAGGCAGATTTGACAGGTCTGAGACAGGGTGGGAGGACATACACATCATTCAGGCTGATATACGAGTTGTTGTTGACAGGTTTCTATCCCTCTTATAAAGTTACAGTACATGTATATAACCCTTAGCAACTCTGCACTCTTAGTGGGCCTAAAGACCATTAACCACAGTTAAATACTCAATTATGTTTTACCTTCTAGATCATGTTATGTAACAGAAGCTTTAATTATAGTCACAAATATTTAACTCCTCGCCTTCATCCCAACACAATATCGCTGATTCAGAATGTGCTATCCTACATACAGCTGTAAAAAGTATAAAATATTTGAAAAATGGTCTCTTGACAACATATACCCTTGTATGGAGATCTTATGTGTAATTGAGTAAATAAGAAAATTACTTTTCTCTGAAAATTTATCTTTTAATCTTTTGTTTGAAATTTTTGAGAATTACACTTTGTATTAAACCAAATTTCTTTATGAGAGTAGTTTTTGTCCATTTAGTTTAGTGCCGATTGCCATCATTGCCTGGAGTGTTTGTTTTCTGTCCATGACCATCTCTTGATCAAATGCACTATTCCTTATGTTTTTCTGCCTTATATTGATATGGACCTCAAGGCTGGCATTGGATTGGTTTGAAATATTAGCTGACTACATGTAATTAACACCTGTCAGACTAAGCAGATTGTTCTGTATTGGGGCAAAATAATGCTATTGGATGTTCAACAAGAGAACGGAAAGTCACTGATGTTAAAAGGCTTCCTGCTCCAGTGTGCAGGGCCTGAGGCTAGAGAAACTGGGGGTTTCTTCCGAATAACAAGCTGGATCACAGAGCGTAATAAGCTGGAAAGGTGTTGGTATCTTTTATAGTGATCTGAGTTTGTTTTGTTCTAATTACCGGCTTACAATGCCTGCCAGATACAAGTCTGTAAAATAATGGTCTTACAGCTAGCTCAATTAATCTGGTTTGTAACTCTGTTTGTGTTGCTAAACACACGACTTGCAGGTTTATGGGAGTTTAATTGTGCACATGCCTTGCAGGATTAAGGTGACTTTGTGCGTACATGTCTGCAGCATACACTTTGAAATCAGATAGTGCTTCACTTAGCATTCATTTTCAATGAAGGGCATACTATCTCAAATTAGATATCATAGAAATTTAGGAATTGCAATATACAAAGATCAGAAAACAAAACAGGCTGCTTTTATCAGGTATACCAAACTGATGGTAAAGCCTTAGCTGCTTCCTGTATTTTTCCTCTTAAAGCTGAGTAAGCTTCAAAGATAAGAACTGATATCATAAAAAATAATACTGCCTTTGGTCATCATTTTCAAACAAAACCATAAGTGTTTTTTGTTTTATTTATATATATGTCTGTGTGTGCTATATTTTTTTCTCACCAGTAGTTGATGTCACTTGTCAGTTGTGAAGTTTACAAGCATGTAGCCTCTCTGATGTATGCTAACTTTACTAGATAACGATGAATAATTTGCAATGTACCAATAGTGAACTTAAGCTGGCTAAGTCACCTCTAAAATCTTAATTATAGAAATATTGCTGATTCTCTACTGTAGTGCTGTTTCATCTGTCTAAATGGACGGGTGCCTCAACAGGACTTGGGCAATATAACTTAATGATATTATAAGACTAAATGACCTGGGCAATATAACTTAATGATATTATAAGACTAAGTGACCTCAAATGTGTTCAACCTGCCCTATCATCACATGTGTGACATGTTTTCAACCTATCTTACCATCACATGTGTGACATGTGTTCAACCTATCCTACCATCACATGTGTGACATGTGTTCAACCTATCCTACCATCACATGTAGGACATGTGTTCAACCTATCTTACCATCACATGTGTGACATGTGTTCAACCTATCCTACCATCACATGAAGGACATGTGTTCAACCTATCTTACCATCACATGTGTGACATGTGTTCAACCTATCCTACCATCACATGTAGGACATGTGTTCAACCTATCCTACCATCACATGTAGGATACGTGTTCAACCTATCCTACCACACATGTGTGACATGTGTTCAACCTATCCTGCCATCACATGTGTGACATGTATTCACCCTATCCTACCATCACATATGTGACATGTATTCAATCTTTGCTAGCAACACTACATGTGACATGTATTCAACATTACCTACCACACATGTGTGACATGATTTTACCCTATCCTGCCATCACATGTGTGACATGTATTCACCCTATCCTGCCATCACATATGTGACATGTGTTCAACCTATCCTGCAATCACATGTGTGACATGTGTTCAACCTTACCTACCACACATGTGTGACATGTATTCAACCTATCCTGCCATCACATGTGTGACATGTGTTCAACCTATCCTACCATCACATGTGTGATGTGTGTTCACCCTATCCTACCATCATATATGTGACATGTATTCAACCTAACCTACCATCATATATGTGACATGTGTTCAACCTTACCTACCACACATGTGTGACATGTATTCACCCTATCCTGCCATCACGTGTTACATGTGTTCAACCTATCCTGCCATCACATGTGTGACATGTGTTCAACCTATCATGCCATCACATGTGTGACATGTGTTCAACCTATCTTACCATCCCATGTGTGACATGTGTTCAACCTATCCTACCATCACATGTGTGACGTGTGTTCACCCTATCCTACCATCACATGTGTGACATGTATTCAACCTTACCTACCACACATGTGTGACATGTATTCACCCTATCCTGCCATCACGTGTTACATATGTTCAACCTATCCTGCCATCACATGTGTGACATGTGTTCAACCTATCCTGCCATCACATGTGTGACATGTGTTCAACCTATCCTACCATCACATGTGTGATGTGTGTTCACCCTATCCTACCATCATATATGTGACATGTATTCAACCTAACCTACCATCATATATGTGACATGTGTTCAACCTTACCTACCACACATGTGTGACATGTATTCACCCTATCCTGCCATCACGTGTTACATGTGTTCAACCTATCCTGCCATCACATGTGTGACATGTGTTCAACCTATCTAGCCATCACATGTGTGACATGTATTCAACCTTACCTACCACACATTTGTGACATGTGTTCAACCTATCCTGCTGTCACCATATGTTCAATATTTCATACAATGTTTTCAACCTACCATGATGAGGTATACCATATGTAGTCAATGTTTCATTAAACATCACCACATGTCATATGTATTACATGCTCCACCATCACCATGTGCCATGTATTCAGTCTTTCCTGTCACCACTATGTGTCATATACTCAACCTGCCCCACCATCACCATGAGTCACATATTTTCAATCTTTTCCTTCTATCACAATGTGTCATGTATTCACTTTTTCTTGCCATTACAATTACAAATAAAGTATTGAATAACTGCTATTAATGAAATGGTTGGAGTACTGTAGTGCCACATGGCCACCTGATTGTTTATTGAACAGTTAGATATACATATGATAGCATTTATGCTTGGACTTTTTGAAACACCTTTTAATAAATAACATTTGTCTTTGCAATATCTTTTGATATTTTCTAAAAGGACAAGGCACATTAATGAACAAAAGTTAATTGATTCACTAATTAGTTAAATTTACATGCTCTTGTACATTAGGCAATCACATGCAATATTTATTGTTAAAAACTAGCACAACAGTTTTGAAATTAGGGTAAATAGATATATAGTCTTGTCAGGAGTGCAGTGTATGACAGATTATGTTAAACCAGCATGTTATTTTCTATTAAAAAAAACCAGAATGTTTAATTGCAAAAAAATAACCAACCCTATGAGGAAATATTAAATTTGACAGTAACACCTTGTGTAGAAGATTATGGTAATGTGGTGTGACCTCGAGGTGACCTTCACATCTGTGGTACGGTTTTGGGACCTGCACACAAATTACACTCATTTATCTATTTATTACACTACAGTAAGCTTTAGTTTTTGGTGTCCCTTTGAGCCTCCATTACCATATTTTGATGAATTCATGCATCACAATCCAGAGACATAAAAGTTTTTATACATATCAACCAAAAATTTATACATGTTCATTTTGTACACTGTTCAGAAAAAAAAAATATATGGTCATGAGTTTTGTGTCACTCAGGAAAGGCCACTTCATTTAAACTTTCAAAATATTGCATATGCACAAGTCTAATGCTTTTAAAATGTAATTTCAAATTTGATTTTTTCTTTTAGTTTGCATAAAAATATTGGTAAACATATTGAAGATTTTGTACCATGTGACAGCATAAACAACTTTTTTTTCATGTTTGTCTTTTTTTTTTTTTTTTTTTTTTAAAAGTATCTTAAATGATATTTGCCACTTGGAGTTTTAACATTTTAATTTAAAATAAATTTCACATGATGGTTGATTTTATTCTTCTTTACAGCCTCTGGAAACATCTACACTTGGGGATCTGGATTGGACGGACAACTAGGACATGGTGATCAAGTTTTGTTTTTGTCAGAACCTCAACGACTAAAATACAGCCACCTTAAAGGAAAAGTTCATGACATCTCTTGTGGAGAATCCTTCTCTGCTGGTGTTACAGGTATTTAATATAGCATTAGAAAAAAATGTGTGGAATCATTGTGACCAGGTTATACTGGGCACCATATGGAGATTCTGTTACCAAATTCATCTACATTGCATTTCATTGGTAAATTTAAATAACTACTGTAGATATCATTGGAATATTCTTAGTCATCAGCTTTTGCTGAATAATTGTAGATATAGATTGGGCATGGTGAGGCTTATGTTTGTCAGTATAAGATATTACTTTATTTATCCTTCAGGAGAAGGTAGGTGGGGGTTGGGTAGCAAGAGTTGGGGGAGGGGGGCTGTTACAATGTCTTTGATAATAGGTAGGACAATGTACTGGTGCAGGGAGGCCATTGAAATAGCATTTCACTGGTATTTCTGAAGAGCTAAAAGTGGATTGGCCTGATACCAAGTATGAGTATGGCTATTTATAGTTAAATATGGGCAAATAATGGTGAGCATTGGTTAGTGATGGTACTCTACTGGCTAGCATTGGTTAACTGGTACTATACTGGCTAACATTGGTTAGTGATGGTACAATACTGGCTAGCATTGGTTAACTGGTACTATACTGGCTAACATTGGTTAGTGATGGTACAATACTGGCTAGCATTGGTTAGTGATTGTACTATACTGGCTAGCATTGGTTAACTGGTACTATACTGGCTAACATTGGTTAACTGGTACTATACTGGCTAACATTGGTTAGTGTTGGTACAATACTGGCTAGCATTGGTTAGTGATTGCACTATACTGGCTAGCATTGGTTAACTGGTACTATACTGGCTAACATTGGTTAGTGATGGTACAATACTGGCTAGCATTGGTTAGTGATTGTACTATACTGGCTAGCATTGGTTAACTGGTACTATACTGGCTAACATTGGTTAGTGTTGGTACTGTACTGGCTAACATTGTTAAGTATGGTACTATACTGGTTAACATTGGTTAGCGATAGTACTGTACTGGCTAGCATTGTTAATAATGGTTATATACTGGCTAACATTGGTTAGTGATGGTACTGTACTGGCTAACATTGGTAAGCGATGGTACTATACTGGCTGGCGTTGCTAAGTATGGTACTATACTGGCTAATGTTGTTAAGTATGGTACTACACTGACTAGCATCTTTAAGTATGGTACTATACAGACAGCATTGGTTAGCGATAGTACTATACTGGCTAGCATTGGTTAACTGGTACTATACTGGCTAGCATTGGTTAGCGATGGTACTATACAGGCTAGCGTTGTTAAGTATGGTACTATCCTGGCTATACTGGCTACCATTGGTTAGCGATGGTACTATGCTGGCTAGCGTTGTTAAGTATGGTACTATACTGGCTAGTGTTGTTAAGTATGGTACTATACTGGCTAACATTGGTTTAGTGATGGTACTATACCGGCTAACATTGGTTAGCGATGGTACTATACAGGCTAGTGTTGTTAAGTATGGTACTATACTGGCTAACGTTGTTAAGTATGGTACTATACTGGCTAACATTGGTTAGTGATGGTACTATACTGGCTAACATTGTTAAGTATGGTACTATACTGGCTAACATTGGTTAGTGTTGGTACTATACAGGCTAGCGTTGTTAAGTATGGTACTATACTGGCTAACATTGGTTAGTGATGGTACTATCATTGGTTAGTGATGGTACTATACAGACTAGCATTGTTAAGTATGGTACTTTACTGGCTAACATTGGTTAATGATGGTACTATACAGGCTAGTGTTGTTAAGTATGGTACTATACTGGCTAGCATTGTTAAGTATGGTACTATACTGGCTAACATTGTTAAGTATGGTACTATACTGGCTAACATTGTTAAGTATGGTACTATACTGGCTAACATTGGTTAGTGATGGTACTATCATTGGTTAGTGATGGTACTATACAGACTAGCATTGTTAAGTATGGTACTATACTGGCTAACATTGGTTAGTGATGGTACTATACAGGCTAGTGTTGTTAAGTATGGTACTATACTGGCTAACATTGGTTAGTGATGGTACTATACAGGCTAGTGTTGTTAAGTATGGTACTATACTAGCTAACGTTGTTAAGTATGGTACTATACAGGCTAGTGTTGTTAAGTATGGTATTATACTGGCTAACATTGGTTAGCGATGGTACTATACTGGCTAACATTGTTAAGTATGGTACCATACTGGCTAACGTTGTTAAGTATGGTACTATACTGGCTAACATTGGTTAGCGATGGTACTATACTGGCTAACATTGGTTAGTGATGGTACTATACAGGCTAGTGTTGTTAAGTATGGTACTATACTGGCTAACGTTGTTAAGTATGGTACCATACTGGCTAACATTGGTTAGTGATGGTACTATACTGGCTAGCATTGTTAAGTATGGTACTATACTGGCTAACATTGGTTAAATATGGTACTATACTGGCTAGCGTTGCTAAGTATGGTACTATACTGGCTAACATTTGTTAGTGATGGTACTATACAGGCTAGCGTTGTTAAGTATGGTACTATACTGGCTAGTGTTGTTAAGTATGGTACTATACTGGCTAACATTTGTTAGTGATGGTACTATACAGGCTAGCGTTGTTAAGTATGGTACTATACTGGCTAGTGTTGTTAAGTATGGTACTATACTGGCTAACATTGGTTAGCTATGGTACTATACTGGCTAGCGTTGCTAAGTATGGTACTATACTGGCTAACATTGGTTAGTGATAGTACTATACTGGCTAGCGTTGTTAAGTATGGTACTATACTGGCTAGTGTTGTTAAGTATGGTACTATACTGGCTAACATTGGTTAGTGATGGTACTATACAGGCTAGCGTTGTTAAGTATGGTACTATACTGGCTAGTGTTGTTAAGTATGGTACTATACTGGCTAACATTGTTAAGTATGGTACTATACTGGCTAGCATTGTTAAGTATGGTACTATACTGGCTAACATTGGTTAGTGATGGTACTATCATTAGTTAGTGATGGAACTATACAGGCTAGCATTGTTAAGTATGGTACTATACAGACAGCATTGGTTAGCGATAGTACTATACTGGCTAGCATTGTTAAGTATGGTACTTTACTGGCTAACATTGGTTAGTGATGGTACTATACAGGCTAGTGTTGTTAAGTATGATACTATACAGGCTAGCGTTGTTAAGTATGGTATTATACTGGCTAACATTGGTTAGCGATGGTACTATACTGGCTAACATTGTTAAGTATGGTACTATACTGGCTAACATTGGTTAGCGATGGTACTATACTGGCTAACATTGTTAAGTATGGTACTATACTGGCTAGCATTGTTAAGTATGGTACTATACTGGCTAACATTGGTTAGCGATGGTACTATACTGGCTAACATTGTTAAGTATGGTACTATACTGGCTAGCATTGTTAAGTATGGTACTATACTGGCTAACATTGGTTAACTATGGTACTATACTGGCTAGCGTTGCTAAGTATGGTACTATACAGACAGCATTGGTTAGCGATAGTACTATACTGGCTAGCGTTGTTAAGTATGGTACTTTACTGGCTAACATTGGTTAGTGATGGTACTATACAGGCTAGCGTTGTTAAGTATGGTACTATACTGGCTAGTGTTGTTAAGTATGGTACTATACAGGCTAGCGTTGTTAAGTATGGTACTATACTGGCTAGTGTTGTTAAGTATGGTACTGTACTGGCTAACATTGGTTAGCGATGGTACTATACAGGCTAGCGTTGTTAAGTATAATACTATACAGGCTAGTGTTGGTGAACTGGTTTTATACTGACTGGCATTGGTTAGCAAGTTACTACTCTGGCTAGCAGTTTTGGTCAGAATTATTGGTCAAATGTTTTGCAAGATTGCTATCTTTTGTTCAGTTCCTAATAGTAGTCTTGCAGTTAATAACAAGGGGTCAAATTAGAAAGATAGTAAAAGTCCATGAAAAAATGTTATGAAGTACTGTATAACTATAGTTGATACATCTTTTTCTTTAAACAATAACCAACAATTGAATTTTATACAAAATGTCCAATACATGTACATTAATGTAGAAGTTTTGATTCAACTGACACACTCTTGTGTACTTTAGTATCATTATGTTGGTCATGTGCGAAAAAGTATTAAATTGGTAAAGTGTACTTTTGTGCCAGAACCGTTTATAATCTGAAGCCTTCTGTCTTCTGTGACAATTTACGGCTGTATAAATCAGTAACTAAAATCCCAGATTTTGTTTTATTGATTTTGTTTTTTATTAAATTCTTTTCTTGGTATCATAAATTGCTTTCTTGCAAAATTCTGTCATACTGTATATAATAGTCTTCATGTTGTTCTAATGTGTTGCAAAGATATAAAGCTCCAGGCAAAAAACTATTACAAACTGTATCTTGCATTTAATTTTGTCTCACCTCTATATAAAACACAGTCACATTGTATTGATATTTTATCTTTAATATCTCCTCAACACCATAACATTTAAATCATTTAAAGATACATTGATAAAAATTGAATCATATCTATAGTAACATCGCCAACAGAAAATATGCATTTCATTGTAATCTTTCGAAATAACATCCTGGTCAAATGTCAAATAATTTGAAAATTTACAGTAAAATTATTGCTTAGGGTTGAACTATTAAAATATCTATCTTGATGAAGGATATCTACATTATCAACAGGTGCTCTGACTTTAAGTTCTAGGTCAAAGGTCAATGTAAGGACAGAGTTTTCAGTTATTTTTCTGTGACTTTTATATCAATTAATATCAACACTGTAGGGGTAGAGGCGCAATGTCCCTCAATCAGTAAGTTTCCGAGAACTATCATGGATACAAGAAGTATACAAAGTCCTCACTTTATAAAGTGTAATAAAGATCCCGGAGTGAAAACAGCAGGGTCCGATCGTCTTCAATACAGGATTTATTCATTCGGTAGGTTGTTCTGATGAAGGACCACTTAGATTCTGAAGGAATAAATCCAGTATTGGAGATGATCTGACTATTGTTTTCACTCTTCAAACTTTTTTT